AAGAATGGTTGCTGAGAGCATATGTGCCCCACATATTAAAAGTAGAAGCTTCAGATGCATCCGTTTTTTTTATTTTTTTTTAATGTTTATTTGTGGTCTAAAGATCACAAATAAGAATAAAAAAAAATGATATGATAAATGTTTTAACATTTTTGAGTTTGGATAATTTAAGTTCAGCTTTAAGTTTATCTGTTTGTCTTGCTTTCCTGATTCTTGTCATTAAAGTCTGAATATGTTAATAAGTGAGATAAAGCTGTAAATTGTATCAAAATGTAAGCATCAGTTGTTTTACTAAATCTTTATGTATACAAAGCGATTTTTATTTACCAGTATACCATTATTACAAGTATATTATTACTGTAATATGCTCAACACCTAGTGGTTCAGCCTGCATTTTGCAGCATTTCTGTTAAAATTACACTGAACAAAAATATAAGCATTGAGTTTTTGCTCCCATTATTTAACCCTATTGATTTAATCAAAGTTTTTTTATTGCTTTTTTTTCTCCAGAACACATATACACACACACACACACAAAAAAAATCATGCAACAAAATCCCCTCCCACAATGGATCGGCCACACAGACATGAACATTTTAGACAGGCATTGACATGTTGTCAACATAAGACATAAATGATTGCCAAGTGGCCCAAAAACTCTCAACAGAACCTTTCAAAGTATATATAATCTTTTCCAGATGAACATGATACATGACTTATTTATCCAGTGTTCATTTGCCGGGGGATACAGATCCTTCCATCTGTATAAAACAAGTCTCCTAGCTAGAAGAGAGCCAAAAGCAATCATATTCCTCTCATACTTGCTGAAGGATGTATCCATGGGGCAACCCCAAACAGTGAGATAAATGGTGATGGGTGTACAGTTTTTCCACATATCCCAGAGAAAGTATAAAAAATAGATTGCCAATAGGTACACAGCTTTGGACAAGTCCAGTGTTAAGTGGAGTGTGTAACAGCATAGCTGGATTTTGTTTACAATAATTACATGCAGGGTCCAGGTCAGCTTTGATCTTGGACAGTTTATCTTTGGACCAATGCAGATGGTGCACCACCTTGAACTGAATTACAGCGTGTCTCAGGCAGATTGAGGATGAGTAAATGTTCTTAATGATCTTTTGCCATAATGAGTTTGATATGGATTCCTCCAGGTCTGTTTCCCATTTCAGTTTAAGGGAGTCCAAACTGGTCTTGTGGTATGAAATGAACAGGCATAAATCCTACTGCGGACCCCCTTATTGTCAGACCTGCACTCCAAAATCTTAACCACAGAGGGGTACTTTTTAACCCTGTTGTGTGTATTAAAAAAGGTTTTAGATCTTAGAGTTTAGCTCATGATAAATGGGAGCAAAATTGAAAGTGTTACCTTTTATTTTTGTTAAATATATTTGGGAAAAAATTGTATAAACCAAAAACAAAAAAGTTTTGCTGTAAAACAATCTAAGGGGCCATTTACACGGCGCATATTTTGAGTGCATCCACAGCTTTCTTTCTGCGGTTCTGCTGATCATTTACACAACACCAGTGGCCCCCCTCTTTGAATCCGGAGGTTTTTCAACCCACCTTCCAGAGTGGAGGTTTTTCGCTGACCCCCCACTGATAATGTAAACATCTCCCGCTGAGGCTTTGTGTTAAACCACATGTGCACACGCATGTGCAGACCAACGCTATATTTCTATCAACATGGCAGCCGACACAGTGTTTTCTAGACTACGACTGATGGAATATATTTTTAATCTCGTAGTTAATCTACGTCAGATTCCAGGTGCTGTGACCGACATCTGTGTTGGAAGAGACACCAGTTGGATCCAGTTCTAACATGGCTGTTTAAAGAACGAGGCACGCACATACGTCGCGCTGCACTAGAACATACTATGTGCTAAATAACAAGTTTAATAATAATAAACAGTTTTTATCTTAAGTTTGAGATATATAATGAAGCTATCTGGACATTATGTAATTCAAATTATGTGATTAAAATTATGCTAAACATATTGCATGTTATGAAAGTTGAAAATGAAGACATCAGGTTTAATTTTTATTTTATTTATTTATTCAACATCACAAACTGTATGTCACAGAAACACTGATAATTAAACTGAACACACTATTAAAAACAAGTTAACTGTAAACTACATTAATTAACTGGACTTTGCTCTGTTTTCATCCTGGATGTCCCATGTTGTTCATCTGGCTCGTTCTGGCTGTCACTCCTTTGATTAATGCAGCTTAAAACATTGAATGGATTGAATAAAAGAACTGAGGAGAATTTTAAATAAATAGTTCATCCAACATCTCACTCTTCAACGTCCTCCTGCAGTTCACCTGGGCCGAGCCTCGTTCAGAACCGGTCCGCCTGGTGGAAGGACAGCTTCTTCTTCTTTCAGGAAAAAATAAAAACTCAGTTGGTTGTTTTGTAACCGAAGTAAACACAAGCAAACATTATTAAGAACATTGTTGTTAGCTGAGCTTTTAGCCCAGAGGAAAACAGCGTGCCGAGGCAGCACGCATGCGCATTAGGTGAAGGTACAAAATTCACAGCGCCATCTAATGATCCGGCATGGTGACTCCAGCGGATTCGGTAGGGCGGAGGGGGAATCCTCTGGATGCATGTAAACCCAAAATTCAACCGTGTCAACGCAAATCTTTTCCTCTAATCAACATACGAAAAAAACTTACGTTTCCCCCCCATCGTGTCCATGTAAATAGGGCCTAAAGTGTAGATCTTGCAGTACTTCAACGTTTGGATTTTTTTCTTTATAATAATAATAATAATGTCATCACAATGTCAGCACTGTATGTTTCCATACAATGGCGAAATTAGTCTCTGCATTTAACCCATCCACCACCAGGTGGTGCAGTGGGCAGCTATTGAAAGCGCCCGGGAGGCATTTTGGGGATGAGGTGTGCTGCCCAAAGACACCACGTGATGTGCAGTGACTGGGGATCGAACCTGGGACTTTTGGGTCCCAGGCCGGCTGCCCTGCCTCTACACCATCTCGGCCCCCACTGCATCCATCTTTTGTGTAGTCTTTCAAACAAATTTCAAAAAAATTTTTTTCAATTAACTGCTTCGTCATATTTTTAGCTCCAACGTTGTTGTTAAAGTTCAATGCATCAGTAATTAGCATGGAATTCAAATCATATACAAAGTAAACTGATACGTTTTTACTTGTCTGGGATTGTTTCCTTTTTACAAAGCAGATCAGTTCTGTCCAGTTTTCTGCTTCCAAACACAGACATGTCTCAGCTTTACTAACTCTTTACAACTGAAGCCAGCTGGATCTTCAGTCTTCAGCTGGTCCCATGTACTCATCACATCTAGTGGCTTTACAGTGTCTCATATTCTGGGTTCTCCATGGTCAACAAGTGAGATTAAGGGAACCCATATGTGCTCATTGATATACTGCTGCCTTTCTAGTATTTGACTTTCTCTGCATTTTATGACCTTATAAGTTGTAAACGTTTGTGGAGAGAAGTTGGCTGTCGCTTTGTGATTCAAACCGCGATGACTATCAAAGCTGCCTCAGTGTCAGAGTCCACATGTTCAGCAGAGTTTTACAGTCATGTCTGCTTTGTTTCCTCTGGCCCCTTCAAGCCATGTTGGACCATAAGAAAGCACACATGCTTTATTATAGTGTTCAGTGACTGACAATCCAATTTCTTTATTTCCATTGTTAGGTGCTATGTGGTGACGTGCAAAAGACAATTGTTTTTTTTGTTCTTTTAGACCTGCTCCACTTGCTTGCTGCCTTTCACAACTGACCTTGGTTTACAACTCACATTTATTTGTGTTGTATTTTATTTCATTGTTCCTTCCCAAAGTGATTTATCATAGCAAAGATTAAACATATTTTAATCAGCGACAATATCAACCACAGATGGTAGTTGGACTTCCAACCATTGTTAAACGTTGCAAAAAAGAAAATGGATAATCTTGAAACTTTTTTCTTTTTCTTTTTTTGTCGGCTTCCTTAAAAGCTGTGATTGTGTAATTGTCTGTTTCTTTGGGTAGACATGTTTTGTTTTCCCAATCACGCCCCTCCAGCTCACACTGTCATTACCCTACCACATACACTCTGTGTAGTGACCGAAAGAATGCGATTGTGGATACAGGTGGTTCAAATGAGTTTCCTCTGCAGAGGAGCTGGACTCTTAGAGATAGGGTGAGAAGTTCAGTTATCCTGGAGAGACTCAGAGTAGAACTGCTGCTCCTCCACATCGAGAGGCTTCAGTTGAGGTGGTTCAGTCATCTGGTAAGGATGCTTCCTAGACGCCTCCTATGGAGGTGCTTCGGGAATGTCCGACTGGGAGGAGACCCCAGGGAAGACCCAGAGCACACTGGAGAGACTACGTTTCATGGTTGGCCTGGAAATGCCTTGGAGTACTCCCAAAAGAACTGGAAGAGGTGGCTGTGGAAAGAGATGTCTGGACCTCCCTGCTCAAGCTACTGCCCCCGCGACCCGACTTCGGAATAAGCGGAAGATAATAGCTGGATGGATGGATGGATGGATGGATGGATGGATGGATGGATGGATGGATTTGATTATTTTTATGTCTTCCTGGAAATGCTTGAAGTATTTAGATGTGCAGTATCTCTGACAATCATTGTTGGGTGTACAACTCAATAACTTTTGGAATCAATGCATATAAAAATGGCCAGCACAGCTAATCGATTTTAGCATACACAAATATGGCAGTAACTGTCAATTTTAGAGATGTTGATTTCAAATATGGTGTGATCATAGCTTAGAGTCATTTCCACAAGATGTATTTTGTGCATGGAAATATCATGTGATATTTATTCAAAACTTTGGTATGGAGGGCAGCAATTCCTTCAAATAACGCTACTTTAATTTATTTTAGATTTTGGATGGCTAACTCAGTCTAAGGAAACCCTTTCCACTATAGCAGCTTCTGAATCACAGCAATTTAGCTTCTTCTTTTTTTTTTTAAACTCTGTCCCATCTTGTACATTGCAG